CCCGAAATCACAGAGCGCACATACTCGCCTTGTTTAACTACACAATGAAAATGAAACAAAAGATCCTATCAATGTGACACGAACTTTTCTGCACTATTGTCCAAAATTACAGAAAAATTTAGTTTTTCATTTTCCACGTCGATTTTACAGAAAATATCCCCAAAGAAAGCATGTAATTACGTACTTCACATGCAGAAGTTTATTTTTCAAGAGAATTTTCACGCCAAATTATTAACTAGAAATCAAATAGAAAATTTAGTGCTGTATAGTTCGAAAGCTCCGAATATTTAAACAAAAAGATACAGTTTTTCATTTACAGTGCCCATTTTGATAAACATTGCACATCTACGAGTTATTTTCAATGATAAATATTGTGTTTTGAAAACATCACCCCCAAAATAGCCACATTTTTTCTGAAAAATTCGGTATGTCAAATGGGACGAGGTCATGCTATAAATCAAGTTCTCATATAAAATTGAGTAGAAGTGATCTCACCTGTGTGAAAAAAGTCAGTTCTCCTCTGATTTTGTATTCTCCCACAGAACCGAAAGGATGTTACCAAAAATGTGGGGAAAATTCACATGTTGGGCCAGATTTTGATGTCCAGCATAAAAGTAGGCGGAATACGTTATTTGGTAACTATGTGGTGACTGACTATTGTTGCACTGGATGACATTTCTTGTGTTATATTGTGTCTGTACTAAACTACGCTCTGGCAGAGCGTGTTATGAACTGATGTCAGCAGCACTAACTGGCGTTAGCTGCTGATGAGTATTCGTTGCGTTATTGTAACGCATCCACACTATAAAATTCATATTCCCCTCCAGATTTGCCAAGTCAAATTTGAGGATCACGCTCTGCTCTCTGGTTTTTCCAAATTGTGAACAATTACAATATTTTCTGCACATTGTATACTGTTTCAGGAAAAGTAGAAGAGATGAAATGAGGCATACCAAATGTGCGCACCATTTTACAGTCGATCTCACATTTTCAAGCAATTAAATTGACGGCTTCAAATATTCACATCTACTCGACAGACATGTTTAATCTTTGCTATCTGATCATCATTTGCATATTTTCTCCGGTGCTATTATCATTACTTCGTACGTTTCGCATATTGAGTGGCTCCAGTACGGGGCAATAGAAGAAAAAATGCGAAGGAACAAGGGTGGAGCTATCTGTTATAGCTAAAAACACATACGTACAAATATTTTCTGTAATGAGATTTTACTTTTCCGTACACAACGTGTCAAGGGAAAGTATAGGAATTGGTCCCGAAAACTTTTTTCGCAAAATTAGCTTAGATCATCATTAAAACTCATGAAACGCGTAGAAAACCACTTTTTGAGACACTTTTCCGTTCGTGTGCCGTCGTCGTTGTCGTTGTCGTCGTTGTCGTCGTTGTCGTTGTCGTCGTCGTCGTTGTCGTTGTTGTCGTAGCTGTTTGTTAACACGATAACTCAAAAAATAATTGAGATAATCAAAATCTGGAAATGCCAAAAGTTTTGTATCCGAAAAACTTAGTTTGAGTTCGAAGATGAGCCATTTTCGATTTGACCCTGGGGTACTTGCCCTAAGAAAAACCTAAAAAAATTGACACTTTTGTATGGGAGGTACCTGTAAATCGACTCCGATTGGCTTCAAACTTTCTGGGATTTCATTTTTTGGGAGAAAAATTAGATTCTGAAAGTTTCACGTTGATCGTATTTGCAGGTTTGATTTTTTGTCCTCAATTTTTTTCGAAATTTTCTTGGAAAAAATTGAGGGCCAAAAACCAAACTTCTACAAATGCGATCAACATGAAACTTTCAGAATCTTATTTTCTCTCCAAAAAAATGAAACCTCAGAAAGTTTAAAGCCAATGAGAATCTGTTTACGGGTACCTCTCATACAAAATTGTCGAAGTTTTAGTTAAAGTGACCGACTTCTCACCGACATCTCACTTTATTTTCATTATTATATTTTCACTGCCTTTATTTCAAGAAAATTCACAAAAAATAACCAAAAATACCTACGGACAACGCAGGCCAACGGTACGGAAAAGTTCGGGATTACCAATGTAATTCTTTTTATTTTACATTAGGCATTGGTGCACGATTTATTTTCGTTGCCGAGCATTATATTGTTATTCATCCTATGAGAAGTTGGAATGAAAAAATTTCTTGTTCATTTTTTTTTTGTGGACTTCCGTTGAATTTCTTTGGTTATTTTGGGGACTTTGGAGAATATGATTTTCGAAAATTTGCTCGATTTTTGAGATTTTCGCTTCGCGACCAACAAAAAAAGAACAAAAAAAAATTTCATCCTAACTTCCCATATAATACAACTTTCATTTTTTTTCTGTTTCCGTTTTAAACAATCGCCAATCAGTTGAGTTCCGAAAAGACACTTGTTCTAGATTCAGACTTGATATCATTTTTAACGCTTTCGCCATAAATGTCTTGGTATTTTCATTGATATTATTTGTTATTTCAGTAGCAGTTTTTTTGACTTTTGCCATTCGCAATATCCGCGTCGGGAGCATAAACATGCTTTGGCGAACCCTCCCTAGAACAAGAAACGAATCACGTAATATTCGCATAATAAATTCATTCGTTTGACTGGGCTGGAATGAAACTACCATCGTCATAGTCAGTCAAGCCCGAATATTTTTGAAATTGAAACCCGAGCACAGCTGCGTGTGAAATTGTCGAATATTTCACAAAAATTAGCTCGAAATTGATGTGATTCAATTTCGGAGTGGAAGGGTTTCGCACATCGATTTACGAATTTTCGTAGTTTTTGGACTGTAGTTCGATCGCTTCTCGTCGTTTCTCATCGCTCCGCTCATTTTAGGTGCGAAAGACAAGTAAAAACCTAGAAAAATAATTGCTAATGGAGTTGCGGCCTATGTTGATTGAATGTTTGCATCAATGCCTTTTCGCTTTGAATTTTCGTGTGGTCGTGTGTTTGTACAACAGAATTGCTTTGAGCATCAGATATACGTCACACGTACTAACCATGAAATGGGTTGAAGTATTTCCGGAATTAATTTATTCAGGAGATAATTGATTTGGTAAACGTCTGCGATGCATATAATATCGTTTTCAATTTAATGTAATGGATATTTTTTGTGTACGTTCTCTTCCAACTTTATTTCTCGTGGTGGGGCACACGCGTTCTCATCGCCATAGTCATTATCCGTGAACATTCAAATATTTATGGGGAAAAAAATGCGGTTTGTATTGTACACGTATTAAAAACCATAAAATCAACAAATCCTTGGACTTTATCAACATAAATAAAATTATATAAGGCGGTGAATTATATAAGGCCGCGTTCTTGACACAACAAGCAAAAAAAGCAAAAGTATCAAATATATATCCTAACGATAACAATAATTTCAAGAGACAACACCAATGAAATCGGTGTGTCACATTTGGGAAGTGAGTGGAAATGAGAAGAAGATTTGAAGTAGAAAATGCTACTGTTTACATTGATCACAACTTCATTTATTTACCAATTTCCTCACCATTTTATGACTCAAGACGACATGAAATCTCTTTCTCCCCCTCTCTCTCTCTCTCTTTATCCAACACTGTTGGCGCTCAACATGAGCTGTACACAATCAAAATCACAAGCGATATTTTTGTGCTTGGGTCGCAATTCAATCAACAAGTACTTCATAAAAACGGTTGTATTGCGTGAAATCAAACACATGGCCCCATGATTTGAAAGGCTTCACTTGAATCGTTATCGAGCAATTTGGCACGTTCCAGTAAATATCGTTGGAAATCTCTGATTCTTCCTTTCGTTTTTCTCCTTATTGCTTTCAAGTTTCGCTTCGCCTCGCCTCGCCTCGCCTCGTTTCGCTTCGCTTCGAATCCACTCCATTCATTATCGCATGAAATGATAAAAGCAGTGCAAGTAAAAATAATTCCACTAGAGAAAACGCCAGGACACATCTTTCATATCGGAAATTAGTGTATTGCGATGAATCGTGTATGATGTGGATTTGTATAACTAGTGTGATATGTGTGCAAACGATGGTACAATCAAATGCCTGATTGATATTTTTCAACGTGTGTCATTTTGACGCTGACGAAACGAAATTCTCAACAATAAAACAACAACGACAACAACAATAATCAACCGCAAAAAAGTTATTGATCGAAAAACAACATCAAGTTGGAACCACCAACCATTGCTGCCATTTGCACTATAGATTTATTGACATTTCAGTATTTTTTCTGTATATTGCTGATATTATACACAATTTCCATGTCTTATTTGTGTTCAGTGTTTTCGGAAAAATAACCATGGCGTAAACAGAACACGTTTGCAAATGGCATTTGTATATTCCCGTAGTTGGTGCGCTTCCCATCATTTGGCAAATATCGATTTATTTTCTATTGCACTCGGAGCTTTCTTTGCTCTTTTTCTTTTTTCTCTCCATCTTTCTCGGCGAATGATTGAGGTATTCATTTATAAGGGTAACAAAATTTTGTTAATTATTTATTTTTGGTGGTGGGAGTAAGGGGGGAGGGTTGCTATAATAGCACCTTTTTATCATTTCGCTGCCTGGTAAACGGTTTCCATATGATAATAAAAGCATGTCAGCTGTCCAAATTTCCCAGACGAGTGCGTGATGCACATCAATGCACCGCGCTATACAAGAGAATTTGCAGACATTCATTACAAATGTTTATTTTGAGCAACCGAAGTAGGCGTCGATAATGATATTGACAACCGATCCATTTTCACCCCTACGACGTACGAAACATTAGTCAATCCACTTTTATTTTGGGTCAATCACAACATAAACCGATGTACGATTGTATTGAGAATGTTTGTGCTTCGAAATACAGTTATGAATTTTGATAAGGAATAATCAAGTAATGAACATGGCCATTAGTAATGATCCATTATTAATAATTTCCGATTGGCGTTCACTATTCAATGGTGTACACTATTTAGAATAATTTTATTTCTCCTGTTTGTTTTCTGTTTTACTTACATAGATATCTCTTCATCGATGTGTTTACAGTCCATCGGGAAAGAGGGAAGAACACGAAACAGTTGGTAATAAGTGCGATTTTAGGTTTGAAATTGATTTTTATCCACATAAGGAAGCAGCCAAGCGACATAACCAGAGATTTTTGATAATTTAAATAATAAGGAACACAACTTTCAAAATGTTGCCTACAAATGTGATGTCTTTCATGAAAAAGGTATGTGTGCTTGTTTTTAGCATTACTGTTATTGTTTGTTTTACTGTTATGAGTATTGTTTTTTTTTTCAAAACAATTTCACGCTTTTACTCTCTTTCTTTGTCTTCATGTGTGCAGAGAGAACACATAATGCAAATGTTTTGACTATGTCGACTACATTTTGGTCACTTAATTATTTTTCTCAAATGAAATAGTCAACTATTTTAGGACATTTTCACTGTATTTTTCACATACTATGATTAGAATTTCAATCACTAGACTGTCATAGTTATTACAATTAATTATAGAAGTAAAAAAATGTAATTCTTATTACTTTATTACCTACTTATTACTGTAATAAGATGACCTATTACTTTGTAATAAGATGCGTTATAAGTAATAAGTCCATTTTATTACGGTAATAAGATTGTAATAAGTATCTTATTACTTTTGGTGCAAAAAAAAAATCGCAAAAATTGTTTCATGTAAAAAACATGTCAATTTTTGTCAGACGAAAAAATGTTGAAAAAAAATGTGTCTGCAAAATTTGACATGATTTTTGTATAAAACTTTTCTTCAAAAATTTACTTGTTTTTTACATGAAACTATTTTTTTTGCACCAAAAGTAATAAGATACTTATTACAATCTTATTACAATTACAATCTTATTACCGTAATAAGATGATCTTATTACTTATTACGCATCTTATTACAAAGTAATAAGTAATAAGTCCATCTTATTACAGTAATAAAATGAAAGTAATAAGTAATAAGTTACTTATTACTTTACTTCTATACAATTAATTAACTAAATCGGTCAACTTGAGTGAAATCGATTGGAATTCCAACGCAGGAAAATCCAATCAAAATATTCCAAATTAGACGGCTAACTTGAAGTCAACATTGTTTTACACACATTTATTTCTTGTCACTCATTTATTTTTTGATGATTTTTTCAAAGACAAAGACGAGAAATTCATATAAACATCCGAAATAGCGTAATTCGATAGCTTGAACAAAAAATACATTGCTTCTTATGGAGGCTAAATGGATGGATTTTTGTAAGAGCGCCTCAAGTGAAAATATCTTAGAATGATGGAATATTTCGAGCTTTAATACGCTTTTCTGCTAATTTATCCAAACTCACCTCTTAAGTGGTAAATTAAAACGAATAAATATTTACACATCGAAATATCTCGAAAACGGCTGGGAAAATCGGCAAAATGGACCGTGGTGTCACTCCCTATAGGGAGTGCAGACACCTGGCTGGTTTGATGGCCCAAAAATCAAATCCAGTGGATTCGGGCTGAACCATGGGTTCTCAGGATTTGGTCTGATTCCCAGCTTTTCCTTTCCTGTGACCATCTTTACAAGTCACACTCATGTTTTGTATGGAATTTCACCACAGGGCAAGTGATGGGATCAGGCCAAATCCCGAGAACCCATGGATGAGCTCAAATCCACGGGATTTGAACTTTGGGCCATCAAACCAGCCGGGTGTCTACACTCCCTCTAGGGAGTGACACCACGGTCCATTTTGCCGATTTTCCCAGCCGTTTTTGAGATATTTTCATGTGTAGTTTAATGAGAAAGATATCCGCCATGACAGCATTTTAGCCCGCCATGTTGGTATTTTGTTTTATATTGACAGAACATTCTCTACTTTGACAGTCAACGATTCTAAACGTAAACACAAATATTATCTGTCATAATCACATTCACCACTTCTAATGTGCTTCAGAGAGCTTCTGACAGCGCCATCAATCCGAAGCGTTTGAAACATTAAAGGCTTTTGCTGAGTTTTTCTGCCGCATTTTCATTCATGCTGTCGCCTTATGCAAAATAGTATAAGATATAAGAACTCAATGCGATTTGCGAACCAGTGAAGGACAGGAGATGAAATCAAAATCCTCAAAAATGAATTTCTATAGAGAGGTTAAAAGACATGAAAAAAATCGATTTCGTTATTTTCAGTTTTAACCCCATTGACTCTTACCAAAATTTAAAAATGTGCTAAACACTTCATCCTCAAAAAGCAACCCTTTAAGGGTGCAATGTTTGCATGCAAAATACTTATATTGGCATTGCAAGGCATTGCACGATTTATGCGCGATGTATCGTAATTGTACTCGATGTATGCGTATATATATACAAAAAAAACAAAAAATGTCATTACCAAAAAATACAAACAAACGAGGGTCCAGCATCCTCGCTACATAGCTTGTTCATCCATTCCGTCCATTGTCATTCGAACCAAATCTAACTGGCAAACAGAGCATTATTCATTTTATCATCAACAATGTATCAAATTTGAAGAGTTACTTCGGCTGATGTTGATGATGTTCTTGTTGATGTCAACGCCAACCGAAATTGGGAATGAAAAAAAGAGCAGAAAGACAAGAGCATAAAGTGAAAAGAGCAGAAACAAGACCGCAGATCGTCGCTTCGCTCTGCTCTGCGTTCTTGAAGCTTTTAAATTTAACGGGTTTAATTAATTCAGTGAAGAACCAATTAGCTGGCTAATTAGCCGCATAAGTGTATACTGGCTAACGAATGTGTAGACCAGTGAAAAAACTTCATTAAGAACTGAACGCAATCGTCTGAACTGACGTTTGTGACTGACATTTAAATCACCAGGTCAGAGTTTAAATGAAACCAAACATCGACATTTTTTTTATTAAGTTTTTGAAAAAAAAATAACTCAAATTATAAAAATGACTTTTAAATTGAAAATTAATTGAAATATATTAATTTTTTTTAAAATTTGTATGATTTGAATCAGAATACGCAAATCAAAAATTATTATATTTTGAATGTACTCATTTCACACAGATAGCTGGCTAACGATTGGCTTACACCAGTTGTTGGTGTAAGCCAAGGCTAAGACAATGCTGGCTAACGAAAAACCATCACTGAATTAATTTGATGTTTCTCATCAAATTATTATCGTAAGCACTACATGGAATGTAGTTTTAATCGTAGTATACTCTTTGTATGCAAATCATTTTAATATTGTCAAAAATAATTAAATAAATTTATATGATGATGTTGTATTCTTCACTTATGAGTTTTATGTACATTCAATGTGAATGATCATCGTATATTATTTCACATTGGTAACGAAAAAAGTGTAATTTTTTTTGAGCTATCCCAAAAGTGAATTACAAGAACATCCCGGGTGACCGCGATAGGCGTAGATGAAAGCCTACAGTCGTTCGATGGGGCTTCCATAATTTGTATGTACATTTTAAATACCGAAGACCTAGACTTTCATTGCTATTCTCACTTCTTTCGTGCATTCGTAGCAATGAACGCCTAGGCGTTCAGTTGTACGTGAAACGCAGTACGTTAGTGTGAGTGTGACACACGGCATCGGCTTCGAGCTGAGCTGTGTACGTTTCACATACAACTGAACGCCTAGGCGTTCATTGCTTCGAATGCACGAAAGAAGTGAGAATAGCAATGAAAGCCTAGGCGTTCGGTATTTGAAATGTACATAAAAATTATGGAAGCCTCATCGAACGACTGTAGGCTTTCATCAACGCCTATCGCGTTTCACCCGGGATGATTTTATTTCATTTTTGCAATTAGGCGTAATTGTTTCATTTCAAATAAAAAATATGGATATTAAAATGAATCAATTTACAGTCCAAAAAATGGCCTAAAGACTCTTAAAATTCTCTTGGGGAAAAATAAATAACAACTACAGTAGCCTACATTCCATGTAGTGCTTAAAAAACATCGAGTAACATTCACTGGCGAGTTCATTTAAATAAGTAAATAAACCGTTATAACGAGACAATGCGAATGAAAGCCTCCTCAAATTTCAAAGGTCAAAAGACCATCGAAATTGTGTAAGTTGAATGTGTGAGTGTGTGAAAGAGAGAGAGAAGGACCCGGCGTACAACACAGAGAAAAGTAAATTGGTGGAACGAATGTCATTGCGTAAGATCACAATATATTGTAATATAGAATCTAAAACCATATATTTTACCGGAAAACTAGTCATTTTAGTACCGACATCCACTGATTGTATGCTGTAAATTAATGTCAAAGTGGGTAAATTTTTACTATTTGCGCAAAAATTCGTACAGAATTTATATAAATTGGTTATAATTTCCGAATGGGTGTGTGTATATACAGATTTACATTTTGCCGTAACACATTAATATTGTACCGAAGAGCCAAAGTAATGCTATTACAATTGTAATGCCAAAATTTAGCATTTCCGGTAATGTGTAATAATTATAATAGCTATTACTTGACCCGTCCGTTACAATATTAACATGTTACCTAACATTAACGGTAATAAAATTCTGGAAGTGGGTTTTGGTGGATCCTCAGGATGGATCAGACTGGGTTTGACAATGCCCTGTTCCATCCTGAGGATCCACTTCCAGAACCAGGAGCGGTTTTGAACAATCCTGAGGATCCACCAAAACCCACTTCCAGAATTTTCTTACCATTAATGTTAGGTAACATGTTACATTTGGCATTACATTGCGTGTGTAATGTTAGAAAATCATAATAATAATGTTAGAATTCTGGCATTACCGTTAATGTTAGGTAACATGTTAATATTGTAACAGACGGGTCAAGTAATAGCTATTACAATTGTAATGCCAGTCATTTGGCATAACCGGTAATAGCTATTACAATTGTAATAACATTACAGGAAATTTGTGTTAACGTAATGCTACTACCTACTACATTTTTAATGCCGGTAAATCTGTTTGTGTATATGTGTATGATTGTGTGCCGAGTGAAACGAATCCAATTCAGTCGATTGATGGCTTTGCCAGGTTTCAATTTTGATGACAAATCAAGAACATTAAACAATAGGCAAACGGTATGACACATGATCACATTGAAATGATGATAGATTACAAGAGTGTATGGGACAAACAACAACAACAAACTAGTGGCTCTTTTAGCCGTCACTTGAAATACTCTTATGGCGTAAACGAGCACTGCAATTATTTGAACTGAGTGGAGGATGGACGTGAACAAACGAAATAAAGCCGATTAAAATTTTCCACTTGATATTACACGTGCCAAAACGTATTCATGTTGATGACTAAAGGAAATGTTCGGTGTTCGGTTTTCATTGGTGCAGTAATTTTTCGACAAATTAATAATAATATTTGCATTTGCTACGAGCACATTTCGATCAACATCTCCATTAGATATAATTGATTAAACGCATCAGCAAACTGAAAAATTAATTACCAGAATCTTAGTTTGGCCACAGGTAATAGAAACAAGGTAATCCGATGGGGGTGGGGTGGCAAAAGTGAAAGCGTGCATGAAACTCCGCATTATTTTTTTTATTCGCTGCTTTTATGTGGGATTTTCCCTATTTACTTTGTCCAGTTCATTTATAGTCTTGTTTGATGCGTGAGCATCGAACCGAACTAAGTGAATGCCGATTTCACATGCACTTTACGCTCAAATTTCATGAATTTCATTTACGGTTTATGCATTTTCATTCCTTCTGAGTTCATTGTCAAACTTGTCATCGTTTATGAGTATACATATACACTGATTACACCTAACTTATAGTTCATCTAAGCAAGTACTTCACACAAAGTATTCATTCCACTTTCCAGCAGATATATTTGTTATATTTCAATTTCATTTTTAAACCACAATATAAACAAGTGAATACATGTCTTTTCTGTTAATTTGGAATTGTGCGCAGATGGTGGCCAATGAGGACACACAGGCCAGTGAAATCCAAAACACAACTGACAATACTGGAGCTTTTGAAAAGCTTAAACAAACACTATCTTCTTCCCTACTGACAGCTCAAGATAAAGGTAAATTTCGATCGCGTGACTACGTTGCAAATTCAAAATGTGTTCATTGCATTTATTTGTTTAAATACGTTTTCGTTATCATTTTCGTGAATCTAAAACAATGATTCAACTATTGCAGTGACTAAAGTGTCACCTAGGCCTTCAATGACTGCTGATGCGGAGACTGTGAGTATGGTGCAACAAGTACAACAGCAACAATCACAGTTGCACCAGCAGCAACACCATTCACAATCAAATCAATCGAATCAAGTTAGTAGTAGTAATAGTAGCCAACAAAAACCCGAACCGGGCAAAGCCCCAAGTCGTGCTGGTGCATGCCGTGTTTGCTTGAAGTCATTCAAACCGGACGATTTTAGTAAAATTTGCGCTGAGTGCCAGCAAAAAGTGTGCGAAGATTGTACGAGCTATAGTAAATTAGATGAAAGCGAAGATGCGGTAAGTTGAAATCAGATTTTTCATGTAGAAATAAATCAGATACTATGCACTATCCTGCAAAGATTTGAATTCACCTGCAATCCGAATTCAGTTCTGATTGAAAGATTTTGAACGTTTTCCATTTTTGGCCATTTATACACTCTGAAATTGAGGTTTAGAATTTCGAACAACGTGTTTGCAGGATAGTGTACATAAATTGGAATTGAAATACGATGCGGCGCGACAAGGAGAATCGGATACAGAAAATGCGAGATCGAAAGGGAAATAAACATCTGCCAACCGAAAAATAATATCGTTCAATTTTTATTTAGATATCATGGCGTTGTAGTGTTTGTAGAAGAAAAATGGCTTCTCGAGTTTGTTTGCCACAAGATTCAACCGACTCGATGCTCGATGTGCCAGTCATGGAAGCCATTCAGCGAAGACATTCCGAAGTAAAATTAGGCTCAAGTCAACAATTGTCGAGTGGCAACTGTGGTTTGGCACCACCGCGCAGTCCCGAACTTCGACGTCACTCTGACGTTTCACCAGCATCAATTAGGGAATTGGAAAAGGTCTGTGTGTGTGTGTGTGTGTGTGTACCATGAATAATGACGTGTTGTACACGTGTGCATGTGTATTCTATTCATTAATAATGATTATTTACAATAAAACAACTCGTGTACAGTTCAAGGACAATTCGGGATGGAATAATAAACCGAGTAGCGCAAATCCAAGCAGGCCAGCCAGTCCATCAATGCGAATCGATTTCAATGCTCCACTGTCTAGAGCTGGATCGCGAAGACAATCAAGAGTTGTGGCTAGGCAACATAGTTACGATGACGATATCAAAGCTTCCACAGCCGAAAATGTAAACAACAAAGACACTGGTTTAGAATTACCCACAATCCCGCGAAGAGCGTCCGCTTATGATGTGTTCGCACCATCGGTGTTAAATTCAGCGGCTGGCATTAGTGCCAATCCATCATCCCGACGATCGTCATTCCGTGCAACCTCACAAGAGCCAAACATGTACAAAGAAACTTCACCAAGCCCAGAACAGAATGATTCAGCGCTATGCATTGAAGAGGATCGTCGAATGCGAAGACGTGGTTCACAATTGTATGTTTCATTTTCATTTAACTGGCAATATCATACAGACAATAATTCATTCGTTCGTTCGTTCGTTCGTTCGTTCGTTCGTTCGTTCGTTCGTTCGTTTATTCATTTATTTATTTTTTGAATAACGATAACCTTTTATTTCTCGGCAGACCGGATATTAGTGCAATTCGAGATAGGGCTGCACTCACCGGCCCCAATACAAACCAATTAACAGCGATGCAGTTCCAGCCACCAGCTTTAGAAGACCTGGAAGCGCCACGACGGCAAACTTCGCTGGATGGTGAAGCGATTAAAATCATTATTCACGATGTCGACTCGGGTCCATTTCTTGCATCGAAGCGGCGAGTTACATTGCGACGAGATCCCACAGATAAAGCACACAGAAGTAATGAATTTGCGAAAATACGATTTCATCTTTTCTCGTACGCTTTTATTTCGATTGAAATGAGCGTATTTGCACCCAGTGCCTTTATTTATATTCTTAAATATATTTTTGTACATTTATTCTGTCTTTTAATTTCGTTAAACGTTGGTGGTGGTGTTGGCGATGGTGCAGCTAGAGGCTTTGGAATGCGTGTTGTTGGTGGAAAGACAGGAACTGATGGTCGCTTATTTGCGTATCTTGTATGGACTGTACCTGGCGGACCGGCCGAAAAGAATGGCTTGCAACAAGGAGATAAAGTAAGCAATTTCCTGTGTCAAATTACAATTTCAAAGGCGATGCGCTATCATTCATCGCATTTTTGTGCGTGTGTTGGGGAATTAATAAAATGGTTTTCGTTTGTCATGTTTTGGTTAGGTTCTGGAATGGAATAGCTATAGTCTTGTTGACCGAAGTTTTGAAGAAGTGTGCGCTATTATGGATCGGACTGGAGACACGGTTGAATTACTCGTAGAACATGCAGCTGATTTTCGTATGTGTGATTTGTTAGACGAATCAACACCATTAAATCCGGGCTCGAGCAGCGGTAGCGGTGGAAGTAGTAGAAAACCTACCGATGATCTATCTTCCGGCTTGGTACCAGGTAAACCATTGTCTTGAATCAATTTTTCGCCCACAATTTAGGCCCAATAAATAATAATCGATTCGTTATCGCGCTCATTTCACATGATCGAAAACCAAAAATCAAATGAATATTGAACTCAACTAATCAACAAATTTTTTTATACAAGAAATGCAGCCAACGTCAATGAAATTTCATTCTTATGTACTCTTCTCTTCCATTATTGCTCACTCTCCACTTGAAATTGGTTCGCTGTTTCGCGTCAATACACATCAATGAATCGAAACATCAGATGTTGAAACAACAGCCGATAAATCGCCAAATTCACCAACTAGACGAAAATTGCCAAAAACTCCGGTATAAATTTTATTAATTCAAATAGCTTGCCACACATTTCCATAACATAAATATTCAAAATGAAAAAGAAATTCTTGAATAATACAAAATATAAATATATTGTTAATGCACGTTCATTTTTAAATGGCATTGAACAAAACGAAAATTCACAGATGAAATCAAAATACAACAACCAAAAATTTAAATGAGAAAAAAAAGTGAATAAAAATCGAATCTCCGAAATGTGGGGAAATTTCCATATGGTTGAATGTGAATTGTGAATGGAAATACGGTGAATGTGGGATTTGGTGTCTGTGGAATGCATGAAGGATATAATTAGAGTCAAAAATCATAATATACAAAAAAAAATACAAATCAAAATACATCTATGTGAGTGTGAATATATAATAACACCGTCCGACAAAATAAAAGTTGTCGTCTCGCAAATTGGGTGTTTGAATGCACGTTGATAGGGGACCCCAACACAAACATTTCTGCATTATTACTTTCTCCGGAAGACGTCTGATTAAGAAAAATATCGCCTTTGGTAGGCTCTAAGGTAGCGCCTATCAAC